GCGTGCGTGTGTGTCGTGCGTGTGTGTCGTGCGCGCGCGCGTGTGTGTGTGTGTATTTGTGGCGGGATAAGTTCGTTACGACATTCAGTCACAACTCGTGTACGTGTGTCTTCTGACGAAATCATTCTCCGATTACGCAGTTAGTTTTCTAATCTTATCCGAATGTTGGGACTATTTTGTACCATAAAGAAGTATACGACTATAAAGCTTTAGCAGGAAAATATTGGAAGAGGAACTTTTGTTTAAATATACAGTTTTACGTTTAATAACAACAATGTATATAAGAACTAGTACAGTTTCGTAACAATAAAAGCATTCGTTTTGCACATTCGCAGGTGCAGTTCTCCCATGTACAGCTAAGCTCTCTGTACGTTACATTACTGTACGTTACACTACATTACTCATTGTACTACATAACATCGTACACCACAGAATAGCTTCTGAGAGCAAAGCTGACATGATGAAGCGTGGACAATAAATAGTACACGCGAAAATGAAGATAGTCGTAATTTTGGAGCGGGATGAAACAAATACGAAACCGAGCGAACCGATGAAGCATTAGCTGTTCAGCTGTATTAGCTGTTCACGCTGCTATACAAATAACATGGGGATTTGGGCGTGCGAGTGGTAACATTAACAATACTTTATCATTAAAAAACGCATCTCACGATTTCCCAAGCATCGTGGATTATAATTGCATCTAGCAATACATTTAGTCGAGTATATCTGAGCACGATTTCATAGAAACTGTACAGGATATATCGACAATATGGCGACCGAACAACAAACACGGTGCAAATCACGAATCTGCGGTTCCGTAAGTAACTATTAATCCGAACAAAAAGCGCCTACGCTACCTTATACCATTATCTTTCAGAGGACATGCATGTGTGTGCCATGAAGGTAGAATTGGTCGTTTACGCGATTTAGGGCAACTGTTCAAGCCCACACACGTATGCACGCGCGCGTACACACGCACACACACATGAGGTCGGACAGCAGGCCATCTCTCAGCTATTTTCTTCTTTCGGTTTTATATGATGTATTTTGTGTGTGAAGCTCATTAATTTCTAATTGGCGACGGTTCAGTTACAAGGCATGACTCACTCACTCATCTCTTCACTGCATCCATGCATGCGCGTAACTGGCTCAGACACTCAAGTACAACAAAGCTGCGTTCACAATACCTCCCGTTTTCATCACAATTATAGCACTTCAAGTTGCCCTTCTGTCGTGCGTACAAAAATGAGAGAGAAAAAGAAGATCGCGCTTTATTACTTGCTCGGGGATTTTTTTTCAGTGAGACGACAGCGAATTTTGACATCGAGGCTCTCAAGCCCCAAACTGACAATGGCACCGCCTTTCATAAATGCAAAATGCCGGTGGAAACCGCAGCGTGGCGATGATTGTGGGGTGCCGTCGAGCGACACCTGATTTGCTGTCGACGAGGAAGGCGCCCCGATCCATAAAGCATACGCTCTTGTTCGTCGATCCGATAAATCGAGATCACGCGCGTAAATTATGGTTGATAAAGCGAGCAGCTTTCTTTCCCTGGTACAATAAATATGCGCCGGTCGAGCTCGCCCTAGTTAGAGAGGCCTATAGCAACGCCGGCCACGTGACGACGTAATCTTTGCGTGACGTCAATACCTGAGGCTTCGTCAATAACAGAATTTGGTTCAGCGGCGTGCTAACAAGCCTCCCTATATAATTTTGACTGCTGATAACACGCCCGACACAATCGCCCCCAGACGGATCCGCGCTCCAATCCAACGGTGTTCACGGGCGGAATAAGTCATATATTTAATAAATGTACTGCGTACGCGAAACGGTAGGCCTGGAGCGTATAGTTAAGGTGGCTACATTTAGCAATGCGTTTCGGCAGCATGTAAACCTACAAAATTTCATCAAATCTTCACTGATGTATACATAGATGCATTATTATTATTGATCCGCACCGCTCCGGCATTGATAACATATATATGCCGGCTAGAAATTTTGATGAATGAGTATGAGATAAGAAACCTAATTCACCACGAGCTCCCATGATCGCGTATATCACATAATATGAGTGAGTATGTGTGTGTGTGTGTGTGTGTGTGTGTGTGTGTGTGTGTGCGCGCGCGCGCGTGCGTGTGTGTGCGTGCGTGTGTGAGTGCGTGTGTGTGTGCGTATGCGTAATATGTGTATGCATGTGCATGTGCGTATACAGGTAATATCATTCTAGTTAGTCACTTGTTGATTATAAATAGTGAATCTATCTACATTTATGACATTGGCAATGTTATGTCATTACTATAGATTAACAGAGAAGATAGGGGATAGGTAAGGTATGAGATATAATACCTTATTTATAGAACGAAATGGATAACGATTAGAAACCTAGTAAATGTGGGAGTTAAGTGGTCTACTAGAATTACGAATGGCTTCATAATAAACATTTCACTGCCGAGGTATACAAAAACGTTAACAAAGTTTGTGAAAGCACTTACTCTTTTTGCTGGTGTGTGCGATAATGTTCTTAGTGTTTTTCTGCTAAAGAAATGAGAAAGTTGATCAAAGTTCAATCAGAAATCGAGGCACCGCGGCATTTCTACAAAAAAGTGCAAGACAACGCACCGCCGCAAAAAACAAGATCGAACTGAAGCCGCTTTAATCTTATTAAACTCGGCGTCCGATTAAATTTCTAACGCCGAGCAAAACCACTGATTAAAGAAACGAGTATTCATTCATCCATCAATCAATTCTTCGAAACGCACATCCACCCATCCATCCGTTCGTCCACTCCTATATCCATCCATCCATCCATCCATCCATCCATCCATCCATCCATCCATCCATCCATCCATCCATCCA